CTTAGTATCTCTTTGCTCAGTTCATAAACTTTCTTAACAGTGAGTCTTCTAACTCTCCTCATGCCATGTATAGGGTCTGTAGGCATCTTACAAAAGATCCTGAGCTCCACCCTTAGGCATTTCACTGCAGTTAATGTAAGCTGGATGGCAGCTCATCAAGTTAACTGCTGGGCTCTGCAGTAGCACAAGGAGACTCCTCGTGAATAAAGAGCCTGAATGTGCAGTCCAAAGGAGTTCAGATAGACAATGCTGAAAATCCGTTTTTATTTAGGGTGGGAGGACCTAGTAAGATGTGTCGGGCAAAAATACTAGTTCTTGTTCCCCAATACCCAATATAACGCTGACTGGGATGATATCTTACTTCATGTAGGTTGATGACACCGCCAATAGCGTAACATTATGGTGATCTCTATTAGGAAGCTATGCTTAGAGTATAAAGTGTGTTTACATTAACATTCAACTTTTTCAGGATCTTGTGCCCTGGTGAGGAAGAGCTACTCAATTCCAAAGGGCTTAATTATTGTTTAGAGGTCACCACTCAGCTGTGGAAAACTCAGTTGCTCCAGTTTCTGTGCTGATACTTTATTACATCCATCTCAGAGGCACATATGACACTGTGAGAGGACTCCCGCTGGTTTCCACAAGCTTGGTATCAATGAGTTTTTACTCTTCTGTTAAAAACTTTGTGCTCAATAAAAAGCCTTAAAGAAAATTAAAAATGTTGGCTTCCACCATAACAAAACCAGTTGCTTAAAATGTTGTACTGTACCTCTTCTAAGCCAATACTAATAGGGAAAGTGTTAATTGCCATAAAAGCTTCTAGTTCTTTTCCACCTTTCCAACTTTATTTCAAAATAAAGTTACAAAAGCACAGTTTCAATTTTACCTTCTGATTAGATTCCGGTACCAAACAGGAGACATCTTTGTGACGATGCAGGAATTTTTCAAAGTCTTCATCACTGATAACAAATCTCTCTGCTTCTCTCAGGGCATCCTCACCACTGTTCTCCCCTTCGATGAGCAGGCACTGGAATACCTGAAGACAAAAGGTGCCTGGTTAAGATTTGATGTTTTCACTTGCCTTGAGTGCCAAAGACTGTCACCATGACAAAAACCTTCAGTTGTCTCAGTAGCGATGTCTTTAATTTTTCTGTCAGTGGAGCCACACTGACACACATTGTGATAAGCAAATGCTATACAATGGGCACAGTGCAGATTTATTTTTAGCAAATTAACATTACATAGTTCCAAATGTAATTATACAGTCATGGTTCCTGACCAGGTTTCCACAGAAATCTTAACTGCTCTGGTCTTAATAAGGGCACAGATAATAAAAGCTCAGACTAACTTTTGATTGAACCTCAAATAGTATGGCTGTATTATAAATGCCAGTAAGTACTATGAACAACGCAGATTATTAAGTCAGTCTGTATTTTTGAAGGTTTTAACCGGATTTGTGACTGTAAGTTTAACTAACTACAGATGGTCACAGAAAAGATAGAGAAGACTCTCCAGAAACAAATGCAAAAGTTTGTCTACTTAACAGCTTCCTTCTAATGGCCAAGTCCTCAACTACAGTCAGACTTTGGGGGGAAAAAAGGTGCCTTTGCCATCAACATGCTCTGTAACCCCAGGAAGAAAGCAGGCCAGGAAACTTGATAAAATATTAAAATGTATGTCATATTTTCCTTACACTCCTTCAGTAGGACCAAGATTTCACAGCGATTTTTTTTTCTGGGAAATCATGTGTGTACACCAATTTCCATGAAGCAAGTAATGAGAAATTATTCCACAAGTTCTTGATATTTATAAGGCATGTTATCTCTACCCATTTTCAAACTGATAACGTAATGTATTTAATACACTTCTAGTAGAAAATATATGCACACTAACCACTAATACTCTATAGCACAATGTTAATGCCTAATGTACACTTATGTATTGCTGATATATTAATTCTAATGTATCATTGTACACTAACTTTTCCTCATTTTCTCAACACCATGACACATTTTCAAATGTTAAAGACCTTCTATCTTACTTTTAATATCATAAAAACACTAGATCTATGTATGCTGAAACATATACAATGTAGTGCTGACAAGAAGTCTGCTAACACTAGTCTGCCAAGCTGGAGGAGGAGATGTGACTGCGGTCATTAGAGGTTCAGGTAAGTCCAGAACGTCATCACTACTTTTCTCTCAACAGGAAACCTATGGTATACACCACTTTCTTACCTTCCAGCGCACAGGGTTGAGTGCCTTGATCTGCTCGTTCATATCTTCCTCAACATTAAATCTGTTGATCACTGAATTTATTTTGAAAGCAACAGCATACTCTCGGCACCACTGTCGCAGTTTATGCAGATTTTCCACATGGTTCTTCTTTCCTTGACCACGGCCAATTAAAACGTTGACATTCTCGTCAAAACTATCACATGAAATGGCCAGAATGTCTAAATATTCACCTGAAAACAAGGTTTAAAAATTGATTAATATTCAGTCCTTCAGGTAAAAGCTGTCAGGACTCTACCCACTTTCACTTCCTCGTTACTTGTCATGAAGTGCCATGTAAATACAGTTCTGTGAAGTCATCACATGAACCGCAAAAGCCACAGCAGCTGCACCATCAAAACACGTATTTTGTGTGTGTGTTTGTGTGTCCAGCATTATGGAGACAGTCTGAGCTATTATTTTATTACACTATTCTACTGAAGACGCAATAGTACAAACTGCCTACGTTCAAAACATAGCAATATTTCACTGTTATTTCCATTTGGTTTGTGTTTACCATAAAGGAACACTAACAAACTGTCTCCCACTTGCACCGAAAACAATCTTTCGGTGAGGCTGCCCCGAGGAGGCTCCCAAACCCCACGGGTGCCTCTGTGCGCACTGGTTTTTCCTTACCGTACTTCTGGAACCACCGCTCTCTGATCAGGCTGCCGTTGCTAACAATGCTGACGCTTGGCAGCTTCAACTCCTGCTTGCAGAACTGGACCAGTTTGCCTACAAACTCGCCTCTGTCCTGAAGAAACGGTTCGCCTCCCGAGAAATTTATTTTCTCCATTCCTAGGAAAGGACCCAAGAGAGATGCTGCCAACCTCTGCCTATGGCCCGCTCCTTCCCCACGCCGCCGGTGCCCGACGGCAGCGACGTGAGGC